CCCTGTTATTACAATACAATTTGTGATAATTTCACTTTAAAAATCACCACCATCTGCTCTTTTTGGCTAAACTCACAATCATGCAGTCTAAATATATCTATCTATTGAACTAAATTTTCAATGTATATTTATACCCCTTACAGAGGCCTAGAACATTCCACACAGTAAAATATATTATGATGCAGTAATACTCACTTAAAACAATGAGAAAAACTTGTAAGGTTCTAGTATGATGATACAATAAAATAACAATTACCAATTTATAACTAGTGAACTACACAACATGTGAGTCGTAAACAGCTATGTAAACAAACTTTCGATAAATTATCACTTCTAAAAATAACTAAATTTAACACTTGCATTAAATTTAAACAGTCATGTATATCTAACAATGTTAGCCACATACTTCCCATATCTTTTAGGTTGAATTTCTATTCTTCTTTTAAAGACTGTGAGATGTTTTCAAAAATAATAAGTTTACACCTTTTATTTTTCACTGTTATTGCAACCTTATTTTGTTATCTTTATAGAACGGACTTGGCAGCTTCTTCGAGATGGTGCCAGAAAACAGTTTGCAGAATCAACCTTTGATCCTCTCAAATGTGTAGTTCTCAGTCCTCCAGCAACTCCCCCTGGTGATAACAAACGAAAACAAAATGAAGATGAATCTCTTATCAGCCAGAATGACCAACCTGTTCAAGTTAAGTACAGACAGGAAAAGTTTCATGGTTAGTTTGATGTTTGTTACACATTGTAATGGTCATAAAGTCCTTGTAGTTCAGTTGTAAAAGAATAAGTCACAACATCAGAATTCTGGTTTTTAGTCTCGATCAGGCCATATTTCAACAATTTATTTTATAAAATGTAAAACATAATCACTTATAAATACAAATTTTGTTAGATGACAAATCTTTGAGAATGACTCAAAATTATATATTTAGCCAAACACAAGAAACTATCTTAATTTTACATGATTAGTGTACCAGACAATTTCAAGCATGTAGAGTGAATGTGCTTGAAATATCTACAAATTTATGACATTGTGAACAAGTGGCATGTGACAATATGTTATGTTCATAGTGAGGTTTGTGTTCTCGCATGACATTTATCGTGAAAATATAAATGATGAGTTTTACTTGAAAAAAAAAAAGATAGTCAACATTTGCTCCTGTATCTATAATGTAAGTAGAATTTACTTCTATCTTCTATTTATATTCTGTCAAAGAGTAGTGGCTTATGTGCATTCAGATCTTGATAGGAATAGAACAGTTTATAATAGAAAAGACAATTCCCAGTTTCTCTGTAATGGTATTGATGTGTAGTTGCTAAGTTGTTTCAGTGATTTATCTAAAGTGTTGTATACAGACACATTAAAAAGAGTTGCTATGAGGTCTCTTTTTTTCTCGATATATAAGTGATTATTTGCTATTCTGATACGTTACATTACTTCCTCTCACATAAATAGCTATACTTGTTCAGTGCTGCCATCTATATGCAAGAAAAATTAATGCATGCCCAAGCCTTCTGCCTTCCCTCCATTGGAAATGTTTCATTCCGATGTGTGTCTCATGGAAATCATCATGTGACAAACCTCCACCAATGACAGTGCAACACACACTCATTATGCAGGTGACCTCCTCTATTCAAGTTATCAGACTATCACTTTGAGTTTTGGCAGAAAATGGAAGCACTGGTTTTCAGTGGGGAGGAAGGGTGGGAAGTTAGAGAGGAGGTAAGTATCTATCAGAGATAGATTTTCAGTATAGGAAAATTATAACTTTTGGTGATTACTTCAATTTTGTTTATTGTTGAAATGTTACCTTCTGTTTATGGGGGAAGGTCTTTGATAAAAGTATAGACTGTCATAGCTGTTCATTCAATCAAACAAGAAGATGAGGTGTAGTTCATTATGATGTGTTGAGGTTCACATTATAAAACAGTTGATCTCAGTACTAGAAAGCCTTGACAAGATTGTGAAAGGTAGAAAAATGCCTTCGATTGATTGCTATTAGTGCAACATGATCTTGAAAATCAACTAGACTTAGGACAGAAAATGGAATGAACATCATTGACCAAGGAGTAAGAAACAGGGTTTGCAAATCCAGTTTATGGCCCTATTATTGACTGCACAAATATTTTTATAATTTATCAAGAACACCAGATATGATGAACCAAGGCTTCATTTTTGTTGCAGTTATCGACAGATTCATATTTGAAGATCCAGAGGTGATTGATATGATTGGTGGAACATCACTAAATATAACTGTTGTGGTGGTTCAGATAGGATGTGGAGAGACATCATCATTAATGGGTCTTACTTTGCTCCTCAGAATAAACTTGATGTTAATCAATATATTGGTATGATGTTAGACCTAGATGTATGACATACATCCTTCTGTGGATGCAATTGGACCAGACTTGATGCTGTGCTATCAGGATTGTGATGAACTACCTTAAACAAATAAACTAAAGACATCATGGCTTTGCCATGAAGGAGTCTTGAGTTAATTCTCATAGAACATTTTCAGAAACTCTTTGGATTCAATGCTTTAATCTGTCGTGTGATGTCAAGACCTTGGCATTGCAATAACTGAAGAATTACAGGATTACTCATACCACCGTGGGTCAACTGGTCAAACATATGTCTTGCAGATGCAGAGACTTTATTAGCCCTTTCTGTTTACTCTCATTCGTTTTTCTTGACTCAAACAGGTTTATGAAGTTAGGCCCTAACTCTGCTCGTATCGAATTTGAGTGAGTTGATGTTCCTTGAGTTGAAACTAGCAATGTATTATCAATAAAAATTATCCATTAAATATGTTTAATGATTGAATGATGCTTCTCAAATGCACTCTAATGAATTTCAGGCACTTGTTCATTTTGTTCTAGAATTTTAACTATAAAACCTTTAATAATTTGGGATATTAGGACATTTAACAATAACACTGAATTATTTCTCTAAAACATGCTATTTATAATAGAAAAGTCTCTGCACCAAAGAAATGTTCACTTTCAAAGTTGTGGCTACTGTCAGAAACCATCAGATTTAACAGGTGGATTCCACTGCTCATTTTGTCATCGGTCTGTTTGTTCCGGTTGTCGACGGATTTGTCGTGCCTGTGAAGGGGATTATTGCCCTCTTTGCTCTACCCTCAGGTCAGTGTGAAAAGCTCCCAGGTTATTTCCTCTTTTTTTTATTCAGTTTATGCAGATCAACATGACAAAACAAATAAACACTTTAAATTTTAGAGAAAATATTATCTTGGAAATTGTAGAGAAGGCAACTATTGTTTTTGGTTTTAATTTTTGGTATTACAAAGAATATATAAGTGTAATTTTACTTCTTTCAGTCCCAAAAAAAGTCCATGACTTTCAGGAAGTTAGAAACAGTACTATTAGGGCTAAAAGTAGTAGATTTAATTGTAATAAGCATGTTCTACTGAGCAACAGATTTCAGCCCTTGGCTTGTGCAGATGAGGAACTATTGGAGGGAAAGAAGACAAAAGGGACAGAGAAGGATGTGAATGATAAACTTAAAAAGGTTATAGTTATAGGTGATTCTTTGACAAGGCATTTGGATAGGATGGTCTGTGGGGTAAATAGGGAGAAAAGAATTAGATTATACTACCCAGGGGCACAGGTGAAGTATATAACTGACAGGACAAGAGATTTAATAATGATGTAGAGAAAGGTAGGTCAGAGGAGCTAATTGATAAGTACAAGGGGTTGATAAAGGCATTAAAAAAATAGGCCATGACTTAATTGTGTCAGGAATACTTCTGAGAATTAATTGTGAGGATTAAATTATAAGTAGGTCATTAGGGGTTGATGCTAGGCTTAGATTAATATCTAAGGAGAGCAGATTAGCTGGTTGGACATGGGAAAAAGGAGCTTTTTTTTAGGAATAGTTGATTTATATTTAAATAGGGTAAAGGCTATTAACTTAGCTAGAAGGGAAATTTTAAACTAGGACTAGACAGTGATGAGGGCCAGGATAAATTAAGTGCAAAAAAATAAGATGTACAGAAAAGTTTAGTGTAGGAAATGAGTATAGAAGTAGTTATAAAGATAGGCTTAATTGTTATTATTGTATAAGAAATAAAATAGATGACCTTAGATCACTGGTAGGAATGGAGGATTTTGATATAATGGGAATAATTGAAACACGGTTAAATATAGATGATTTTGATGACAGAAATTTCTTTCAAATAGAGCATTATAGATTATTTAATAGGGACAGAATACTAAAGAGAGGGGAAGGAGTTGTTTTATATGTAAAATGTTATTTAGATCATGCTGAAGTTGAGAATACCAAAGATAATAGCAAGGGGATTGAATTCATTTGGGTTTCTATTAGCAGATATAAAAGGAAAAGGCTTTTTATGGGAACTTGTTACAGACCACCAAATGATACTGATGAAATTAATGAGAAACTTTACAGTGAGATTAAGATTTCAGCTGTTAATGAAGCCATAATTATGGGTGATTTTAATTTCATGCATATAGATTGGGAAATGTTAAGAGTCAAACCATGAGGGAGAAAGGTTTTTGAAAACTGCTCAAGATGGCTTTCTTCATCAATTAGTCAAGGAACCTACAAGAAACAATGCTATTTTAGATTTATTGTTAACTTCTAATATAGAAATGATTAAGAAGGCAGAAATAGGGAACATCTAGGTACAAGTGATCATTGCTCTATTAGGTCTGATGTTTTGGTGCATCAGGAATAATGATATTTTGGGTACAGATTCTAAAAAGGCAAATTTTGAAGGGATGTGACAAGAATTATATATTGTTAATTGGGCAGCTAAGTTATTTGGAGACATTGATCAAGTTTGGAACATTTTTAAAGATAAATTTTTAAATATTCAAGATAAACATATTCCTTACAGAAAGAAAAGGTTGGCTTACAAAGAGTATAAGGGATAAAATTAAAGAAAAGCATCAGAAGCTTAAGAAATATAGATTAACTGGTATGATGGAAGATTTAGAAGATCATGAAAGTTGGTCAAACAGGAAATTAGAACATCAAAGAGGGTGTATGAAAAAAGATTGGCTGAAAATGTAAATAGTAACAGTAAAGATTATTTTAAATACATTAAGGGTAAACAAAGTGTTGGGATGGGGTAGGACCCTTGAGGAATGATAAAGGAAGACTCGTATCTGATGATTACGAGATGGCTGGGTTATTAAATTCAGCTTCTTCTTTTTTTTTTTCAGTTTTGACTAATGAAGATTTAAGTAATTTTCCTTGTTTTGAACAGATGATAGATTGAACAAGATGATCACATTAATTCTGAGCTTGTTAAGAAAAAAATTGGGAAGTTTAAAGAACATAAGGCTCCTGGGCCAGATAATATTTCCCCAAGGATTTTGAAGGAGGTTAAGGATTGTATATCTGAGCCACATGCTGCTATTTTATTTTTTTTTGTAAGTCTTTTAATAGTGAGCAAGTGCCAGAGGATTGGACATTGTCTAATGTTACTTTTCTTTTCAAGGGAGGTGATGAACAATGTCCCAGTAATTATAGGCCCATTAGTCTTATATCCGTTGTGGGAAAAGTTTTGGAAAGTCTGTTAAAAGATGCTTTACAAAGTCATTTAACAATGTTTAAAATTTTACTGGATAATAAAATCTTGCCTTACAAATCTTTTAACATTTTTGGAAAAGGTTACTGCTTATGTAGATGAGGGTAAGGATGTTGATTTGGTGTATCTGGATTTTCAGGAAGAATTTCACAAGGTGCCACATAAAAGGTTTGTAAAACAAATTATCTCTATAGGTATGGGGGATAAATTAGCTAATTGGATAGAAGAGTGGCTAGATGGAAGAAAGCAGAGAGTTGTTACAAATGAAGTTCAGTCAAACTGGACTAATGTTACAAGTGGGGTACCTCAGGGCTCGGTCTAAGGACCTTTGCTCTTTTTGATTTACATCAATGACGTAGATGAAGGAATGGTCAATAAATTACTTAAATTTGCAGATGATATTAAGGTCTTGGGTATTGCTAGCTGTGAAGAGGATGCTGCTGATTTACAAAAGGATTTAGGTCATTTAGTGAGTTGGGTGATTAAATTGAAGATGGGTTTTAATTATAATAAATTCAAAATAATGCATATAGGTTATCATAATTTAATTATAAGTATAATTGGTTCTCAGATAATAAGTATAATTTGGATGGGAATAACTTTAACAGTTTTATGAAAGAAAGGGATTTTTTGTGTAGTGGTTGATCAGTATCTTAAAACATCCAACCAGTGTGCTGTTTCTAGTGGTAGGGCAAATAGGATTTTAGGTTGTATCTACAGAAATATTGAATACAAGTCTAAAGAGGTTATAATTTCGTTGTATGGGTTACTGGTTAGGCCACATTTGGGTTATTGTGTTCAGTCTTGGGCTCTTTACCTTAGGAAGAACATTGAATTGTTGGAAAGGGTTCAGAGAATGGTTCCTGGGATGGAGAAGTTATCATGAGAGGAGAGATTAAGATCTCTGAAACGGGTTTTATCTTGAAAAAAGAAGAGTTGGGGGCGGGGTCTGATTGAGGTGTTTAAGATTATAAAGGGAATTAATAGTGTTG